GCAACATGTGCAAGATGTCAGCATTTAGCTTCCGTACTCTCTCCTGCAGCCTCAGGCAGGCTGGGGGCATGAGGCCCTAAGTACTTGTGGAGGAGCACACAAGTGTTCCAGAGTAAGCCACTGGCATGTGGCCCTCTGGGAGGAAGCACAGAGCAGCTGCTGGTGCACATAATAGTTTCTAGGTTGTCCTGCTCTCTGGCCAGTCAGAGTGGGCAGGGAAGCTGGTCAGTGTGGTCAAGGGGACTGGCTCACGTGGCTGGGGCTTTGGCCTTTAGACTAGGAAGGCTGAAGCTGGTGAGGAGGTGCCCTAGAGGGTCACCTGTCCACAGAACTCACTGCTCTGGTTTTCTCTTTGGTACAAGGGATCCCCAGTGGTCTAAGATATGGGTGCAGCTGCTCTGGTAGGAACCCCAAATGTTAGAAGACCAGCAAGGCTGTAGCGCCCCTTCTCACATGGTTAGCCAGGTACACAAGAACAGGTGGCAGCTGCATGTCACCGGATGCCCAGCGCCCTGCCAGCCTATCATTTCCTCTCAGTTAGGTGTCACATAGACTTTCTGCCAACAGGTTTATTAGCTCTTCTAGTCATGCATGAATGGCTGGCTGAGTTCTTTCTGATGTATTTGAGCTGTGCAACTGTGCTGTGCTGGTATAAGCTATCCTGTGAACAGTCTTTAAAATAACATGTCATTGAGAGTCATGGAAACAGCCAGAGATCTCCCCGAAATGCCTGTTGGCCTGACAAACTTGCTGTCGGAGTGAACTGGACCTGCAGGGTTCAAATCACAACCCCTTCCCTGCAACCTGTTAACACCAGGGAAGGCTGTTTGATGCTGCCAGGGCCCTACTCCAAACACCTCTTGAGCTGACCCTGCAGTCCCCTCCGCTTCCTTCTCTACCAGCCCCCTTTGCCTCTGCCCTTCCTTGAACCTGCAGAGTCTCCATTCTTCTTGAGCAGTGTCCCTGTGTACTTCAGACCTGGGATCTGCCTCCCCTATGTGTTCAAGTGTCCTTCAGCCCCAACCACCAGAGGGCGTGCTTAGGGTGATTCGTTACCGTGGTGTGGTTGGCTTGTTCCAATCAGAGTACCTGCAGTCACTCCCGTCTCCTCCTCTCCCCCAGCTCAGAACATCCACTTAGAATGGGAGTTCCTAGTGAGTCACACAGTAAGCCTTTAATGTTCCAGACTCTGCACTCTGGTTGGTAAGCTGGTTGGTTGACTGGTTTGATTGCCCAGTACACTGAGGTGCCTTCTGTTGAGTGTATGGTCATGTCACACTCACAGCTGGAAGAAGGTGTACAGTATCTTTCCTGGCTTCTGTCTCTCAGTCTCTGACCTGGGAAGTCTCTTCCCAGCCATTTGTGCCACAGCTGTGAGGCCTTAAAAACCCCACTTTGCTCCTGCCAGCTTTTGTGAGTTACTTAAAACAGTTGGCCATTTGCTAGAAGCACCCAGGGTCCTGCAGACCACATGCTTAACTCTTACCCACAGGTCATCTACACCAAAGCAGCTGCCTTCACAGGAAGTAGGGTTAGACATGGTTGAATTTGGGTTGGAAATCTAGCCCATGTTATGATGACACCAAGACTCCCATCCCTGTGGGAAACTTCCCAGCATGAGATGCTGCTGTCTCCAAGGCACTTGTTTCCTGCGTGTCCCACCTCAGCACAGGGTCCCTGTGTTCTGTGCAAGAGATGTGCCCCTTGAGAGGGTTCATAAATGAAATCTGTGCAGCTCAATTCATTTATTAAATGCACACGAGGAGCTATTATTTCACTTTACGGGTTCTTCTATAATTAGAAAATGACTCCCAATTTCATTAAAGGAGCATAATGCTTCTATATTGGGTCTTGTTTAAATGAGGTAATCTTGATAAGAAATAGACAAAATTACCAATCAGCTTCTACTCAGTAGTTACAGCTTAATTATACCATGTTTCCTCCAGTAGGAACTGCAGAGTGTATATTAATGCTGCCTTTCTCACCGGTGCTCAAAACGTGCAACCAGGAAATTCAGCCTACTAAAGATGCTCCTTGTTTCTCACTGGTGGGAAAGTCTGCCCTTCCGAGAGGGTCTTCACCCTCTCTTATCACCTTCTTTCAGAAAAACACAAGGGGTGCCAGCAAGAGCAGGGGTGATGGGTGCTGTTCTGCCATTTCTCAGCCTAGAGCTCTGTGATCCGTGTGTTCATGTGTCTGATGCTGGGTCCTGGTATAAGACGCTCATTCTTGTCTCATGGTGTGCTTCTCAGCTGGTTGTGTACAGGTGGTTTCTAATCCTGTACTCACCCAAAAGCCTGACTGGGTTGGACCAACCAGAGGCTGATTGATGTAACTGGTGGCTGTGGCTATCAGATGAGACCTGGACAGGGGACCAGAGCACTCACAAGACCCCTTTTGTAGCCCAGTCTCCAGTAAGCTGATCAGATTTCAAGATAGAGACTTCCAGGGATGAATATTCTAAGAGACCTGGGCTGTCAGCTTCCTATGACCTGGCCTCAAAATCCAAAAATGTCATTTCTACCAGACTGTGTTGACTAAATGACTAAGTCTAGCCCTGAACCTACTCAAATGAGTTACAACTATAACCACCACACTGCCAGAAGGAGCGAGTGGCAATGGTTTTTCAAACATTTGCCATGTTTCTTCAGAGGAGGCACGTTCTCTAGAAGAACAAGATTACGTCGATATGAAGGGCACATGAGTCATGGTGGACAGTGTGGGAAGGCTATAGAATGTATGTACAGGTGAGTTCCCAGAGGTCAGTGCTGGAGAGCACCGTGGAGAGAGCCTGTTTCCAGGGCAGCCAGGTAGCATCCCACAGAAAAGTGTCTACCTATTGGCACTAGCCCTGCCTTAGCTACCCATATCACAGACAATGAAAGTTAGAGCTTGGAAGGGGATCTAAACATCACACATGTTTACCTGGAAGTTACCCCATGAATGTCCTATTCACACTGAATCTTTAAACCCACCTTCATGTTAGAGCAACAGACACACAGAGAACCATGAAGTAATGTCCCTAAGCCATGTACAATTTGCTTGTTTTGGAAAAGAGCTCCTTAGAGAAGACTGTGGAGTATCTTATAGTCTTGAAACAGACCCTTGGTACTAGAGAAAGTCCATCAGCCCATGCTGAAGTGATAACTGCTTCCTTTGCCTTTGGCAGGAAAACAGCTGCTGGTTGAGCACCAAAGGTGCCTGGATCTGGGGAGCTTGGCCAACCCTTTCTTTCTTTCTCCTTCCTCCCGTGTGTTCCCCTCAGGATCCCTGGAAATTCATAGTTGTGACTATCTGCTCTGAAAAGTTATAAGCAAGATGAACAATCAAGCCACATAGCTGGAGACTATGCCAGGAATAAATTCAGCTTTGCAATAGACATGGGCTAAAACATTTATAGTTATGAAAGAATATCTCTGAGTTAGAGGATGTGGAGAAGCACATGGTAATAAAGGTTGCTATGTGTCTTATTTGGGGTTGCTATGACAAGATGCTATGGACAGGGTTGGCATGTAGGCAATAGAATTTCCTTACAGTTTTGGAAGGTCAGAGGTCCAGCATGGTCAGGTTCTTATGAGGATCTTCTTCAGCTGCAGACTGCCCACTTCTTATTGTATCTTCAAAAGTAAGAAATAGCTCAATAGAATTTTCTGGGGCACTTTTATGAAGGTGCCTTGGGGTCAGACAGGAGAGTAATCATCAACTCTTACCTATGTCAGTTGTATTCCAAAGGCTCCCTCCTGGTGCTGTTCCACTAGGGGTTTGTGTTTCAGCAGATGGATTCTGGATATAAACATTCATTTTACAGTATTGTATTGATTCACTGAATGTACTTGTAGGATGCCAGAGGCAGAAGATGCCAGAGTTGCAATTGCCTGTATTGTATACCACCAGGAGGGCATTTAGCAAGGGTGAAGAGCACATTTCAGGAGAGGTAGGATGCATGATATAAATTAACCTTTAGGACAGGGACAAGTATGGGAAAAACTGAAGTCTCAGCTAGATTCAACCTCCCTTGTTCTTCAGCTGCTGAGAAAGTCCACACACAAACACACACCCCATCTGTAGAATATCTATGCATCTAAGTAGACACACAGACGTAGACCCATGGCCCACTTCTGCCATCACTCCTCTTTGCCTTTCAGTACCAATCAAGCTCCTACCATGTCATGTGACAGTTTCTGGGGAGACATGAATAAATGTGTATTTACCTCAGAGAAAGAACTGAAGGCAGATCAAACTAATGATACCTCCAAAGTCCAATGTGTTAAATGAATTTGTTACAGGTATCACAAGAGTATGACTGAAGAGTACTTACATAAACATTTATAGCTCAAAGGCAGATGTACCACCAAAGCTCATCCCAACATGGATGACAACTAATGAAAGCAGTCACTCTGGAGCTCTCTGCTTGATTTTCAGGCAGCTTACAGGCTGGAGAGCCCCCTCCTCTTGACAGTCCTTACTGCTTATATAACCCTGAGAAGGGAGAAGCCTTGTGAATCTGGTAAGTTTCAGGGACTTCCTGAGACTTGTGAGTTGAAGACTTCCCAAGTCTTAAGCAGCTTTCCCTCCAGGATGGAATATTTCAGTTCAGAAGAAATTGCTGCACAACAGATAAAGCATTGTGCACTGAGGGGAATGGGGCACACAGCTCTTGTGTGCAAAGGTACACAACAAGCCACAGAGTAATTGCAGGTTATGAGTGGTGCTAATGGGGGAAATGGGGTATGGTAAATAATAATAATAATAATAATAATAATAATAATAATAATAATAATGGGGATAGGTGATAGCTTTCAAGGGTGACCAGAATCAACCTTACAAAAAGGTAGCTTTATCATGCATTAATTATATGCTATCTTAAAAGTTCTTGCATTGCATGTTATTAGGGTTCAAATTATGACTTCTTTTTTTTCTCTGAGCCCAACCTGCCGGCTGCCAGTGACTGCAGATCCCTCCTGATTGACCCTGTGCTTATGACAACTCTCTCTCCTCAGGGAAAGGAGACGTGTTTGGAGATGTGTTCTGGAAGGAAGCCACTCTTGCACAGTCCTGTGCTAATGTTAGGGCCTTGACCTACTGTGACCTGCATGTGATCAAGAGAGATGCCCTTCAGAAAGTGCTCGAGTTCTACACAGCCTTCTCCCACTCCTTCTCCCGGAACCTGATTCTCACCTACAACCTGAGGAAGAGGGTGAGCCAGCGGCTTTGATTCCTTCTACGCTTTCCCCTGTGCACTTTGGATAATTGCTGGGGCTGGGGTCAATCCTTTTGCTTTTTCTTGACACGGAGAAGGGTGTTCTGAGCCAGCCCAGTCCATTGTTTGCTCTGTAGAGCTTTTGATGTACAGTGGCGAGCAGAGCAAGCGTGTTGGGCTAGACAATGGATCAGCCTCAGTGTAGAGGGGCTTTGCTGTGTTCATCTGTGGGCTGGGTAGTTCCCAGCAGCACCTGGACCTTCCAGTGTTGTAAAGAGATGGGTAAAGTGTGGCTTCTCATCTGTAGAAAGGCCTCATGGAGCCACTTGACTAATGTCCACTGCATCCCCAGTGATTGGGACCTGCAGAGTGGGGTAAAGTCATTACCTAGCCGACTGGTAATGATACTTTATGAAAAAGATATGAAAGAACTTGAGTTCTGCAAAGAAAGCCATGGAATTTGGTTGTAGGGAGGAAGTTTCGTATCCAGCCAGTTCCTTGAGAAACGAGGAGTTTTAGGAGAAGATGTCTTCCCTAGAGATGCTTCTTTTACCTCAGGTTGCCGAGTTTTGCCATCTCTCCCTGTATTCTCGCCTTCTACAGTTTCTCAGGATAGACTTTTCTTTTTTCTTTTCTTCTTTTTTAAGACAAGATCTTACCATTCAGCCCTCAAACTTTCAACCCCCCTGCCTCAGCCTCCCAAGATTCACACTTGCCTTCATGACTGACTTTCTTGCACTGCATCCATCACCTTTGGTTAAACACCAGCATGGTCACTCCAGACCAAGAGGGATCAGCACTCAGAAGGATTTTCATAAGATGTTTCCCATAGTGATGTCATCTCCATCCCACTAACCTGCCTCTCACAGTCCTGGTCCCTGGTTCTAGTTGTATGTCTGGTTTGTGCCGGACTTTCGTATGGCCAACATTGATCTTTTCTCTCTCACATACCTCAAGTTGGTCATCGGGCTCTGTTGCTTTTGCCTCAGCTTTCTAATATGAATTCATGTTTTATTTCATTTCTTGTGATCCAGGCAGACTCTTCAAGGCCTATCTGGAGTTCTCAGGACACTGGGGGAGTCCTCAAAGCCCTCACAGAATCCTTAGGGCCTTGTGGAATTCTTGGGTACTCTCAAAGAGCCTTCAAGGCACAAAACCCCTCATTGAGGCATCTCCCACAGGCAAGACAACCCAGGGGCTGAACTAGCCTTCCTGCCCATGTCTGCCTCTACCACATAACTTCCTTCATGCCTGCACATTTTAGCACAGATCACCTGCTTGTGCACATGTGACACAAACTTAATCCCTGAACTCTGCCCGCAACCTCTCCTCCCTACCCCCACCCCTGTGACCTGAACTGCCCCTCTGACAATGTCAGGTGGTTTCTTCAAGCGTAGCGTCTGTGCCTGGAAATCTTCCTGCCTGTGTGTGACAAATTCCTGCTAACTGTCCAGACTCTGAAAGATTCATTGCTTCATTAAGTCTCTCTTGGTGCCAGATGAACTGGACTAGATAAAGAAAACTAAAGACTCCCTCCCTTCAGGTGCCCAAACCTAACAGAAGCACTGTATGGGCAGGATAATGGCAGTCCATTAAGCTAATTCACTCAGTGATCATGACTCCCCTGAAGTGTATCCAGAATGAAGGAGGGAGCAGCTAAGGGGGAGTCAGAGAAGCCGTGTCCAGGGAGTGAGTCAAGTATAGAGGCATAAGGGGAGAGCATATGAGCAAGAGTCTAGAGAAAGAAACCTGAGCTCGGCTCTTGAGTCCCTTGTGTAAGTTTTGTTAGGGCTAGCCTTTGGCTACATTCACAGTAGCCTCTTCCTGCTCCAGTCCCTCAGGTGGCATTGCCTTGAGCATCCTGCTCAGAGACCTGGGAGCACCAGAGCGTCCTGTGTCCTCAGTGCGTAACTAGGTACAGAGCACCTGCAACTCATGCACCATTTAATGACAAGGGGAAAGAGATGGGCCTCTGGGCCTCTCTTTCCCCATCATGCAGTACAAGGTTGTAGAGAGAATTTTCTGGCTCCACGGTTTGAAGCCTGCCCACCTGACCTCCAGGGTAGGCTGGGCACTGCTGGAGAAGCGTCCCTCACTTGTCTGCTGGCTGGGAACGTGGGATGCTTGATGGAAATACTTTTAGCCAAGTGGATTCTCCTAAAATCTATTTTTTGGTTTATTCCTTCTTCTGTGAAAGCCAGTTGATTATAATCAGCTTTCAGTGTTGCTGGTGAAATGGGTTGAAAAATACGAGGTTTGAGTTATTTGGAGGAATAATCATTTTAGAATAATTATAGATCAAATAAATCTGCCTAAAAAATAACAAGAAAAACCAATGATGCCTTGGTGGTCAGATTATTTTTATGCATATGGAGTGACTGACAGCTCTGGAGACAAGAAGGAACCAAAGCTCTAGATGGTCTGGGAACATCCTTTTAAGTGTCAGATCCCCAGAGAAGAGAAGGTGGGGCTCTGTTGTGTGGACCTGAGGGTATTTAGGGCCCTTAATCCCCTGCTGAGGAGCATCATGGGAGGAGCTCAAGCTTCTGATGAAGAGCCAAGCTGCGTGACCTATGAACTTTCTTCCCATCCCAAGCCCCTCTGAGTCTGGCATTGAGCCAGAGGAATTTCAGTGACAGCTTTATGTAAAGGGCCATTCTTTTCTTGGAAAGAGAGACTTGTCATTTTGGCGCAACCATTGTCATCGCCCATTGTGTCCTTCTGCGGATTAATTCACGGTTACATAGGGCACCAACAATGAGAGCATGGCATGCATGATTACCCTCCTAGCTGTATTTTTTTCTGAAAAAGTGAAGTTATTCTTGTGGCTGTTTCTAGCTTGGCAAAAACCAAGTGAATTATTTGCTAAGAGTTCTGGGGACACTGTGCCATCTCAGCATCTGTCTGGGGAGTTGTCTCATCTCCTAGCCCTCCCCCAGTGCACAGCAAAAATTCTGAGCCAGAATGTGCTTCAACAACCAGCCCATCTCTCTCCCTTGTCCTCACCATCCTCATATCATAGATAGGACATTTTACAGAAATGAGCTGGCTGGAAACGAAAGAATTAGAACCAGATGATTCTCAGACCAGAAACGTCGTGAAGCCTCCTGGCTTCCTCTGGCCTCCACATTCTAAGCCTTAGACCTTTACTCCTAAGCCTAGGTGAATAAGCATTCCCCAGGTGTCACCACGATTTTAGAGTCCAACCCAGGAAGGGACTTGTCACGTCATTCTGTCCTACAAAGCCACGTAAGGTAAATGTGGAGCCAGGCCCAGAGACAGTCAACATGGGACCTTCTGTTTCTCTGGCTATGAGTTCAAGACGAATGAGACTGGTTTGGATCCTGCCTCTGCTGCTTAACTCTTCTCTAATTCTGAACAAGTAAGAAGACCTCCCTATCTTGAAAATGGAGAAGATGAACTTGCTGGGTGCTTACAGACATAGCCTAGGACACAGGAGGTGCTAGGTTAAGCTGATTTTTACTCTGTTGTCTCTTTGGTACTATTCCATGCTTTATCACCTTGTGCCTTTTCACAGAGGACGCCTTCTGCCTCTGCTCAGATTGTATGCTCTGCAGAACTCACTGTAGCAGTACAGCTATGTTGAGACTGTAGGTTTTTCACCAGCGAGTGAGGAGAGTCTAGCATCCTTGTTCCTTCTGAGTGGATGGCCAAGGAGAGTCATGAAGGGAAGAGATTGGAACCACCATCCCAAAGCCTGGCTAGGGTACTGGCTCTGCAAGCATCTTCCCGCAAGCCCGAGTCTTCCTCTGCAGGCAGAGTTTTCACACTGCTGAGAGTAAGATATCACCAACTCCAGGAGTGTGCAAGAAACAGCACTGCTCCAGTGGTAACTTAGGTCAGCTCTAAATCTTCAGAGCGGCCTGCAGCATTACTGGGTCACTGCCTTTTCTCAAGGGAGTAAACCAGGAGGCTGTGCAGAAGAGAATCCCCTTTCCAAGGTCACCCAGATACTGACAGACTCTGAACCTGGCTGTACACCTCTGGCTAACCCTGTAGCGCCCCGTGACTGTCCAGCTCTGAGGAGCGGTACTCAGCCTTTCTCACTGTGACATCCTTTAGCGTTCTTCTGGGCTATTGACTTGAGGGGATAGCCTGACGTTCTCCTAAGCATCTCCAATGACTTTTGCTTACACCAATGAACCCAGAAGCAGTGACGCCTACCAGACCCCATACTAGGGGTGGGGCACCAGAAGTGCACATGGAGACTTCAGGTCTAGCCCGTGTGTGTGTGTGTGTGTGTGTGTGTGTGTGTGTGTGTGTGCGCGCGCACACACATGCATGCTTGCTGAGGAGCAGGCTAACCCACCTGTCTTGATGCTGCTTTAGGGCTAAACTCCTATTTGAATTCAGGGTTGCTGCTGACTAGCTGGGCATTCTTGGACACCTAAGCCCTGCTCCTTCATTTGTAAAAAAGCTAATATTTAGAGTGTAGTGGCTCACATCTGTAATTCTAGCACTTGGGAAGGAGGCTGAGGCAGGAGGATTGCTGCTAGTTCACGGCTGGCCTGGGGTGCATGGCAAGTTCCATACCAGCCTAGGTTATAGTGGGAGAGCTTGTCTCAAACAAAGCAGCAACAACAAAAAGGAGACAACACAATGGTTCTCTGATTAATGCTATCGACAATTTTGTGCATATTAAAACAAAATAAATTGGCGCAGCAAAGCTGGGCTTGGTATCACATGCTTTGAATTCCAGCACTTGGAAGGTAGAGGCAGGAGGATTGCAAATTCAAGGACAAACTGGGCTGTAGACTGAGTTTGAAACCAGCCTGGGTAATTTAGTGAAACCCTCTCTCAAAACCCAACACAATAAAAGTAACCTGTCCCTGTGGGAAGCGCCCTGTCCACATTGGTCCCTTTTCCTGCCCTGCTGCCCACCCCCATCTCTACTTCCAGGCTTGAAGAGTTGAAGTCACACTTGGTCCTATTGAGTTAGGAGCAGATCTGTTTCTTTGGTTAATGATCTGTGTGGG